TTACCTTTCTCTGCCTCTTCATCAGCATTTGTTATTCTCTTTCTTATTGATAATAACCAGTCTAACTGGGGTGAAATGATATCTCAATGTGATTCGGCTTTGCATTTCTCTGATGTATAGTGATGTTCAGCACTTTTCCATGTGTCTGTTGGCCCTTTGTATCTCTTCCTGTGAGAAATGCCTGTTCAGCTACTATGCCCATTTTTTAATTATTTGTTTTTTCACTGTTGTTTGAATTCCTTGTGTATCTGGATATTAATCCCTTGTCAGATGCATAGTTTGCAAATATTTTCTACCACTCTGTAGGTTGTCTTTTCACTCTGTTAGTTGTTTCTTTTGCTGTGCAAAAGCTTTTTAGTTTGATATAATCCCATTTGTTTATTTTTCCTTATGTGCTTTGGGGATCATAAAGTTTTTGCCCAAACCTGTTTCCTGAAGTGTTTCCACTATGTTTTCTTTTAGGAGTTTCATTGTTTCTGGACTTATATTGGAGTCTTTAACGCATTTTGAGTTGATTTTAGTATATGGTGAGAGGTATAGGTATAGTTTCATTTTTCTACTTATGGATGTCCAGTTTTCTCAGCACCATTTATTAAAGAGGCAGTATTTTCCCAATATTAGTTCTTGGTGCCTTTTTCAAAGATCAGTTGGTTGTAAGTTTGTGGGTTGATTCCAGGGTTCTGTATTTGGTTCCATTTGTCCAAGTTTCTGTTTTTATGCCAGTACCATGCTGTTTTGGTTACTACAGGTTTGTAGTATAATTTGAAATCTGTCGCCAACCAGTACCCTGAGGGGAGACAGTGGGAAATGAAGAGACATGCTTTATGGGATCAGGAGGACCTTTCAGGCTGCTAACCTGTAAGGCATCTTAGTTTATTTTAGGTTTCTTTTTATAAGCCAGTAAAAATAACAAATCATACTGATTAAATCAATTATGTCTGGTACCAAGCTATTTATAGAACATTTTCAGCTGCCATGACACTTGAAGATTCATAGCTAACTACTTATCAACAAAATAAGAACACATGTTCTCATTTACAAAGCTTCCAGGGTCCTGGGTTCAATCATATGTCAGACTTCAAAGGGAGAGAAAAGAGGGAAAAGGGCAAAATGGGAAGCCAGCCTTGCTGGCTTATCCCCTAGAATAACAAGGACTTTGTCAGCTTGCTATTCAGTACCTCACAGAAATCAGGTAGTGTTATGCCTCTGGCTTTATTTTATTTTTTTGCTCAGGACTGCTTTTGCTATTCAAGGTCTCTTGTTGTTCCATATGAATGTTAGGATTCCTTTTTTTTCCTATTTCTGTGAAGAATGTCATTGGTAATTTGATGGGAATTGAATTGAATCTATAGATCACTTTGGTAGTATGGGCATTTTCACAATGTTGATTCTTTCAATCCTAGAGCATAGAATGTCTTTCCATCTTTTTGTGTTCTCTTTAATTTCTTTCAACAGTGATTTGTAGTTCTCATTGTAGTGATCTTTCAACTCTTGGAAAAATTGATTCCTAGGTATATTTATCAACTGTAAGAGTTTGTTTGTTTGTTCTGTTTTGTTTTGCTTTGTTTCATAGAATCTTCCGGCTTTTCTATATATAGGATCACATCACCTGCAATCAGGGACAATTTGATGCTGTCTTTTCCAATGTGGATGCCCTTTATTTCTTCTCTTGCTTGAATGCTCAGGCTAGTGCTTCCAATATTATGTTAATTAGGAGTGGTGAGACTGGGCATCCTTGTCTTATTCCCATTCTTAAAAAAGCTGAAAGCTTTTCTCTATTCAGGATGATATTGGTGGTAGGTTTGTTTTATATGGCTTTTATTGTGTTGAGATACTTTCCTTCTATACAGAATTTGCTGAGAGTCTTTATTGAGAAGGGATGATGAATTTTGTCAAATGCTTTTTCTGCATCTACTGAGATAAAAATATGGTTTTTCTCCCTGATTTTTTTGATATGGTGTATCACATTGTCTTACATATATTGAACCATCCTTGTACCCCTGGAATAATCCTACTTGATCATGGTATACAACTTTGGGGTTTGTTGCTGTATTCTATTCGCTAATACTTTATTGAGGATTTTTGAGTTTATGTTCATCAAAGATATTGGCCTATAGTTTTCTTTTTTTCTTGTATCTTTGTCTGGTTTTGATATCCTAGTGACACTGGCCTTGTAGAATGAGTTTAGGAGAATGGCCTCTATTTCATTTTTTTTGTAATAGTTTGAAGAGAATTGCTATTAATTCCTCCTTAAAGGTTTGGTAGAATTCAGCAGTAAAGCCACCTGGTCCTGGGATTTTCTTTGTTGGAAGATTGATGATTACTGTTTCAATCTCATTACTTGTTATTGGTCTGTTCAGGTTTTGTATTTCTTATTGGTTCAGTCTTGATAATTTGTATGTGTCCAGAAATTTATCCATTCCTCCAGGTTTTCGAATAAGTTGGCATATAGTTGTTTACAATAGGCTGTAATGATTCTTTGAATTTCTGTTGTATTGGTTGTAATGTCTCCTTTTTCATTCCTAATTTTTGTTATTTGGATCTTCTCTTTTCTTTTTTTCATTAGCCTAGCTAATGGTTTGTTTATTTTGTTTATCTTCTCTAAAAACCAACTTTTTGTTTTATTGGTCTTTTGTATCATGTTTTGGGTTTCTATTTCATTAAGTTCTGCTCAGATTTTATTTCTTTCTATCTACTAATCTTGGGATTGGATGGTTCTTTTTTTCTAGTTCTTTGAGGTTTAGCATTAGATTGCTTATTTGAAATCTTTCTATTGTTTTAATGTAATCATTTATTGCAAAAACTTTCCTCTTAGTACTACTTTTGCAGCATCCCACAAGTTTTTGTACAATGTATCTTTATTTTCATTAGTTTTGAGAAATTTATTGATTTCCTGTTCAATTTCTTCTTGACCCGTATGTCATTCAGAAGCATGTTGTTTAATTTCCACGTGTTTGTATAGTTTTCAGAGTTTTGCTTGTTATTGATTTCTAGTTTTAATCACTGTGTTCTAAAAAGATACTTGAAATAATTTCAATTTTTAAAAATTTGTTGTGGCTTGTTTCATGACCCAACATGAGGTCTATCCTAGAGAATGTTCCATGCACTGAAGAAAAAAAATAAAGTATATTCTGTGGTTTTTGGATGAAAAGTCTGAAATAACTGCCAAATCCAATTGGTTTGAAGTCTGGTTTAAATTCTGTGTTTATTTGTTGATTTGTTGCCTAGATGATCTGAGAGAGCAGTGTTCAGATCTCCAACTATTATCATATTGGGATCTATCTCTCTCTTTAGTTCTAATAATGTTTGCTTTATATATCAGGATGCTCTGAATTTGGGTGCATATATGTTTATGATTGTTATGTCTTCTTGCTGGATATATCCCTTTATCATTATACAATGGCCTTCTTTATCTCTTTTTATAGTTTTTGGTTTAAAGTCTATCTGATATGAGTAGCTATTCCTACTCATTTTTTATCTCCATTTGTGTGGTATATCTTTTTCCATCCCTTCACTCTTAGTATGTGTATGTCTTTATATGTACAGTCAATCTCTTGTAGACAGCATATAGTTGGGTCTAGCTTTTTAGTCCAATCAGCTAGTCTGTGTCTTTTGAGTAGGGGATTTAATCCATTTGTATTTAGGGCTGTTAGTGAAAGGTACTGTCTTACTTCTGGCATTTTATCAATATTCATTTAGACATTTTAAGTATCTTTGTTTCTTTCTTTCCCGTTTATTGTTTGCCTTCAGTGTTTGTTGGTTTTTGGAGGTAGAAAAGTACAGCTTCCTTCTCTGTCATTTGCATTTTTGTTCTACCAGTGGGTTTTGTTCTTTCTTCTGTATTCATGGTAGTGATTATCATTTTTTGGATTCCCTTGAGGATTCCTGTAGTCCTGGTCATGTGGCAGTGAACTCTCTTAGCTTTCTTTTGTCTGGAAATATACTATTTTTCCCTCATTTCTAGAGGATAGCCTTGCTGGGCATAATATTCTTGGCTGATAGTTTTTTTTTTCTTTTTCTTTTAGTGCTTGGATATATTATATCATTTTTTTCTAGCCTGCAGAATTTCTGTTGAGAAGTCTGCTGCTATTCTGATGGTGGCTCCCTTGTAGGTAACTTGAACTTGTCTCTTACTGTTTTTAGGATACTGTCTTTGTCTTTGAGTTTTGCCAGTTTGACTATGATGTGCCTTGGAGAGGACATTTTTAGACTGAATTTGTTTGAGGATCTTTGAGCCTCCTGACTCTAAAAGCCCATATCTTTCCCTCTATAAGTTTTCTGCTATTATTTCAATAAATATGTTCTCAATGCTTCTTTCTTTCTCTTCCACTTCAGGAGTACCCGTGATGTTTGTGTGCTTAAGGTTGTCTGATATTTCCCTTAGACTTTCTTCATTTTTTAAAATTATTTTTTCTTTCTTTTTTCTCCACCTGTTATTTTGAAGAGACTGTCTTCAAGATCAGAAATTCTTTCTTCGGCTTGCTCTTACCTGCTACTTAAGCTCTCAGTTGCATTTTATATTTCATTTAATAACTCCTTCAGTTCTGTGAGTTCTGCTACATTCTTTTTTAAAGTATTAATATCTTTGTAAATTTCCTCATATCCTGGATAGTTTTGCTCAGTTCATTTATCTGACTACACCTTTTATCTCATTGAGTTTCCTTAAAAAATTTTTGCTTGGAATTCCTTTTCAGTCATTTCAAAGGTTTCTTACTCTATGGGTTCTGGCTCTTGAGAGTTATTGTATTCCTTTGGCGAACTCATATTGTCTTGTTTTTTCATACTTTTATTATCTCTATGTTGATGTCTGGTCAACTGGTAGAGAAGTTGCTTCTATTATTCTCCTTCCGTGGACTCCACTGGGACCCTCCTTGTGTCATACAGTCAAGTGGTCAGTGGTCTGCCTGCATAGTGGCAATGGCTGATGCTGTGGTAGCAGGCCACCCTTGCAGCAGCAGTTGTTGAGGAGATGGTTTTGGCAGACTGCCCACATGACAGCAATGGCTACAGTTTCAGAAGGCTGCTTGCTCAGTGATGGTGGCTGCCTGGTGGCTCGTATGGTGGCAGTGATTGCAGCAACAGCAGTTGCAGAAGCTGCCTGCTTGGCTGCAGTGTCCACAGTGGTGGCCTGCACAACTACAGTGCCTGCAGAAGCAGCAGGGTTACCTTGCAGTGGTGGCAGTGGTGTAGGTGGCTGTAACTGCCTCCCTGGTGTCTGTGGTGTACCTCATGGGGGTGTCAGTGGTGCTGGTAGCTTGAACTGACTCCCTCATGTCTGCATTGTTCACAGTGGCAGTGGGGGTTACCTCATGGGGAGGAGGAGCAGAGGCACCAGTGGCTGTAACTGTCTCCCTCATGTCTGCAGTGTCTGTAGCAGCAATGGGGTTTCCTCATGGGGGCAGCAGCAGTGCCAGCAACTGCAAGTACCTCCCTTGTGTCTGTGGTGTCCTTGGTAACAGAGGGGTTACCTCATGGTGTTGGCAGCAATGCCAGTGGCTGCAACTGCCTCCCTCACCTCTGTGGTGTTCTTGGCAGTATCCTTGGCAGCAGTGGATTTATCTCATGGCAGTGATGGTAGTAGTGGCAGCTGCAGCCATCTCACTCATAAATGCAGCGTCCTTGGCAGCAGCGAGGTTACCTTGTGGCAGTAGCAATGGAGGCAGTGGTTGTAGACACCTCCCTCACATCTGCAGAATCCATAACTGCAGTGACAGGAAACCCACAGGACTACTGCTCTGCAGTGAGCATTGGTTCTGGGACCAGACAATGGCTCCAGTGACTGTGGTGGCAGTGGCAGTGGACCTTTATTGATCTTCTTCTCCAAGTACAATTTTAAAATAGTAATTGGATAAAAATTGTGAAAAGTGGGCACATATATGTTTTAAAAGTCATGTAAAATTAAAATATAGAAAAAGCAACAGTAATAAAAACAATATAAAATTTGGATGAATAGATGTGATCAGTGGATATATCTCCGGGAGATATATCATTGGAAAATTCATAAACTTTGAAATAAAAATACGAATGTCTGAAATAGTATAATATGTCATACGCTGGTATTTTAAATCATTGAGGAAATAATACATTATTTAATAGAGCAAATGATGATCCACTAAAATAATGATAATATTAGATCTCGGACTCACCAGTTTAATGAAAATATACATAAAAAGTTTAAATATACAAAGATTTCACTGCAAACTATGAATCTTACTTGGAGAGTGGGAATAAAATATAGGTAAATATTTGCATAAACTGGGGATTTGGAAAGTTACCATAAGGCAAATTAAAGGCCATGGCGATGTCTAATTATAACATGGCAGATTACACTACAAAAAAAAATCACTGAATTGTAATGAAAGTGGAGACTTGTGCACAAATGCTGTGGGAAATAGATGGATTTTTTAAAACTTCATTAAATTTAACATGATGTCTGTGGCTTAAGACATATACAGTCCATAGTAAATCTATCATAATATGTGCACATATTTAATTATAAAAATATTTTATCAAGCAGTTTTTAATTTATAGTCAAGTTATAAACAAATCTAGTGACCAATAACGTGGATTTTATTTAAATAATTTGATAACATTCTTAAAAGGAGTATTATTGAGGCACTGGTGTTATGGTTAATATTTATTGACATTGAAAAAATGTTTAAATTTGTTAAAGAAAACTGGTTAAAAAAGAGAGAGAAGGCCCATTTACCCAATTATGTAGCTGATTTCTAACAGCAAAGACGTTGCTCTTTTTCTTTTCCTTCAGCCACAGTATATAAAAACATGCACTTGAAGGGCCTGGGAATGCGTGAGAGAATTTTTCTACGATGTTTTCTGCCTGGAGATACAGCGAATGTCCAATTGAGAAATGCCTTCCTTCCTGCTCTTCCCTAGAGAAAGTCCTGTATGGACACTGTCCAACTCCCTGCTAATTAGCAACTGGAGACACAGATACCCAAGGTCTTGAGAGAATCTATATCCTATGTATTTCTCACTTATTCTCAGCTGATTTTCTCCAGGGACTATTGCTTAGGAAATATTTACGTTCACCTAACTCGTGGGTATTGGGCAGTGATATTCACTACAGGGGAGAAACTTTAATGTGCTAAAGTCATGTCTCCAGCAATCTTCTCTACACATGGACAAACATAAAAAGGAGAAGGGGGATGACCTAGAAGTTGTAAGTATTCTGTTTTAATGTCTCACATCACCATGTCTTCCTCCCTCTTGATTTGTCTCCAACCACATAAAGTCATGTCTCCAGCAATCTTCTCTACACATGGACAAACATAAAAAGGAGAAGGGGGATAACCTAGAAGTTGTAAGTATTCTGTTTTAATGTCTCACATCACCATGTCTTCCTCCCTCTTGATTTGTCTCCAACCACATTAGTCAGCATAGACTGAATCAGCTACTTCCCTCAGTGTCTCACTTTGTCTCTCCTTTAGATTCCCTTTCGAGAGTCTTTCTGGAGGTCTGAAGTCTATTCATCTCTGTTAAATATAATCATGGTTCACACCACAAGAAGAATCAGAAAAATGTACAGGGGAAAATGTTCTTCATCTTTTTGCCAAAAGAAAAAAGATCTTTCTATTTATAATTCTTGCTTTTCCAAATAACATTTAATAGCCTTTGTTCCTATTTCAGATTTGGAAAAGTAGTTTGTTACAATTTTGTTTTGAGTTAAAATCATATATATGGTATTTATACATACATACACACACACACACACAGAGAGAGATTTCTGCTTACTCTCCTTCTTAGGTCCTGTTTAGGAAATGACCTTCAAGTCAGACTTGAACTGTGGAGAAGCAAATGCCTACACATCTCACCTCTAATTTATGAGCTGGTTCTCAGTAAATTGGATAGAGTAGAGTTACTTTTCAACATGACCAGTATAGAAGGTAAAGTAAGAGGGACTAGAAGGCCCTCCTTGAAGGAGATCTTATAATTCAAATGTTTTATAAATATTTTAGAATATTGTAATGGAAAGATATGAGGAAAATAATTAAATGATTTTTATTTCATTTATGATTCTATTACACTGATAAGCAACTATAATAATGTTATTCTTCTATGTAAAATTAATTGGCTGGCTTGTGGTAACCATTTCACAATGTATACATCATGTTGTACATGGTAAATATATTCAATTTTTATTTGTAAATTATACCTCAATAAAGCTGGAAAAAAAGAAAAATGGTACAATAAAATAAGGTAAAGCATAAAAGCACAGAGACAAGAAATAAACTCAACAACAATTAAAATAAATAGTCCAAAAAGTTATTAGTTCAATGAATTTTATATCACTTTTTTTTTTCCTTTTTTGTCTTTTTTCGTGACCGGCAACAGATCGCAACCCTCAGTGTGGCGCCCGTACCGGACCGGGACCGGCAACGGGACCGCAACCCTCGGTGCTGCGCCCGCACCTCGCTCAGCCAGTGAGCGGCCGGTCTGTACGTGGGATCCGAACCCTCGGCGGGAGCTCCACCGCGCTCCCAAGAGGTGCACTGTAGCAGTGCGCCACCAGGCCGGCCCAATATATCACTTTTGAGTCACTGTTATGATTTCAGTAAACTTGCTACTTAATGGACTTTGCCTTTAAACTCCTAAAAAAGTTAAAAATTTGTTTCTAAATTTGCTTCTGTATCCAATATCCTATCAAAGTATGTGATTTTGAGTTTTGGTACCAAATTAGGAAATTGGTAATTCTCAGATTTCTGCTTGTGGAGGTTAGAAAATAATAAATTCATACTTAGAAGGACATCACATTCTGAAAGAGTTCAAATTGCATCCTAAATTTTTTTTTATGTATGTACCTTGTGTTATTTTCTGGAGGTGATTGGAATAACTTACATTTGCATTTGATGTGAGTATTTGTTAAAAAAAAAAAAAAAAAAAAAAAAAAAAAAACCCTGAAATATGACTTCAGTGACTAAAACTAAAACACATCAGTCTGGGATAAATTAGCATTTTATATTAAACAGCATTAGAAATATGCAGAATGTGGGGATCTATATAGCATGATATTCAGGTTTTCTAAGTAGAATTCTTTATTAACTCTACAAATTTAAACATTTAGCTCCAGAATTTAAAATTTTAAACTTTATTTACCCCATTTAAGACACAATTTTACTTTTTGAAATAAAAGCATACCTGAATAAAATGCCAAATTGAACCTTCATTATTCCTAAAAGTAGAAGATTAAATAAGACACTGTCTTAAGAGCAGAAAATTTGAGGGCAGAGATGACAACATCATAAAAAATAATAAGAGGCATATAATGCATCCATATTTTATAATCCAGACTGTTTTAATTGAGTAGAAAAATGCAAAATGTGCTGACAAAGATATACTTTGCCTTTTCATAATTTCATCAAATGCCATTAACTTGCCTTTAAATGAGTGTATGTAGGTGAGTTTTTAACTTATTTTTATCAAAAGCATTCTGTGGTTATCTGTTTGGACAAATCTGTGCACATCTGTGTTTGTGTGCCTGTTTGATTTTATATCCAAGTACCACAAATGTATTTTTTTCCATCAGCTTTAAGAGATGAAATATTTGGAGGTAAATAATCATGAGTCAGTTGTGAAAGAAATTATGAAATTATTTAGCTTCCTTCTGTATTGAAACTCACCTGTGTCTGACCCCGTATCACTATAATTCGATAATTAGTATTAGGAAACATTATCATAACCTGTCTTGTCTGTAAGGCAGAAAAGACACAAAATATATTCCATTTGTTTTCCTGACACACTACCCCACTGTTACTGATTATTTTTGCATTAAAATTTCTTGTAAAATGAACAAAGGTCACTCAAAATCTATTTTTGTGCTGTGTATTTAAATTAGTTTCAACATTCTTATATTCTTTCCCTCCCACTTCTACTAAGAATTGTATAACCACTGAAATTGGAAGCCTTTCTTTTCTGCTTCAAGTAAACTATCTTTAATAATAATGATCAATAACTTGTGAAAAGAGATGGCAGCATGAAAAAAGGGAAAATAGGCCGAATGTTTATTGAGACAAAAAGTGATGACACAAAAGAATGCTTTTGTTTTTGTCTGCCTTTTTAATAATTACCTTTTTCCTTCTCAGAGAAACTTCACTAGTTAAAAAACCTTATCTGATAGTTTACTCTAAATATTGTAAGTAAATAACAATATTTCTCTAGATTGAATTCCCTATGTCCATTTTTCTGTTTTACTTAGAAGACTGATGGAACAAAACAATGAAACGTCTGGAGATGATTTTATTTTGCTTGGTTTCTCAGACCAGCCCCAGTTGGAGGTCATTCTTTTTGTGGTAGTTTTGATATCCTATCTTCTGACCCTGGTGGGCAACACAGCCATCATCATGGTCTCCTGCCTGGACTCCAAACTTCACACACCTATGTATTTCTTTCTCACAAATCTCTCCTTCCTTGACCTTTGCTTCAGTACCAGCATTGTCCCCCAGCTATTGTGGAACATGAAGGGACCAGCCAAGACCATCACACACACTGGCTGTGCCATACAACTCTATGTGTCTCTCTCTGTGGGTTCCACAGAATGTGTTCTCCTTACAATCATGGCATTTGACCGCTACATAGCTGTCTGCAGACCTCTCAATTACAGTACTGTTATGCACACATCATTTTGCAAGGCCTTAGCAGGAATAGCCTGGCTAAGTGGAGTAGGAAACAGTCTCATCCAAGGCACCATCACCCTTCAGCTTCCTCGATGTGGGCATCGCCATCTCCAGCACTTCCTGTGTGAGATGCCTGCCATGATCAATTTGGCATGTGTTGAGATTCATGCGAATGAAGTTCAGCTTTTTATGGCCACGTTAGTTCTCCTCCTTCTTCCTATGGCATTAATATTGGTCTCCTATGGATTCATTGTGCAAGCCATTATAAAAATTAAATCAGTCCAAGCTTGGCACAAGGCCCTAAGTACCTGTGGTTCTCATCTATTGGTGGTGTCCCTCTTCTTTGGGACCAGCTCAGCCATATATATTCAACCAAAGATATCCTATGGCCACAGCCAGGGAAAGTTCCTCACACTCTTTTATACTGTTGTGACTCCAACCCTCAACCCCCTCATATATACTCTAAGGAACAAGGATGTGAAAGGAGCCCTGAAGAGACTGCTGAGAAAAGAACAAAATTCCTAAGAAGAAATCAGAAAACAGTGGCTTCCCATGCTGGAAATTTATTTAAGGGACGTATCATTAAATAACTGCTTCCAAGTGTGTATGTGTTGCTTGCTTAGCTGTCTGGCTGTATTTACGTATCATATGGCTAACATTGTCTAGAAAAAGAACACGTTTAGATCCAACTTCCATAGTTCCTGGAACCTCATGTGCATGTGAGTTTTTTGTAGTAAAGGAACAGATCTGTGAATCTACTTAAAGTGCTACTGTGAAAAAAATTAAATATTTGGTTTTTTATTTAAATTTTTTATTTACTACTAGCATATTCATTCTTGCAAACTGTGATATTTCTTTATGCCCTTTACCTGACCTATCACTTCCCAAACCCCTTACCTGCCTCCCCCCATCTCGAGTATCCTTTCTCTCCTTCTGAAAGTACAATGTAATGTTGTGGTCTTTTCTTTCTTTCCTTCATTCCTTCATTTTTCCCTCCCTCCTTCCCTCCCTCCCTCTCTCGTTCCTTCCTAGAAGCCAGTTATGAGTGAGAACATTCAGTATGTCTGTTTCTTTGTCTGGCTTATTTCACCTAACATAATTTTCTCCATACTTATCCATGTTGCTGCAAATAGCAGGATTTCATTTTTTTATGGCTGAGTAGTATTCCACTGTGTATATATACACCACATTTTCCTTATCCAGTCTTCCATCAATGGACATTTAGGTTGGTTCCATATTTTGGTACTGTAAATAGAGCTGCAATGAACATGGGAGTACAGGTATCCCTTCAACATGATGATTTCCATTCTTTTGGATATATACCCAGTGGTGGGATTGCTAGGTCATATGGTAGTTGCATCTACAGTTGTTTGAGAAAACTCTGTACTGTTTTCCATAATGGCTGTGCTAATTTACAGTCCCACCAACAGTGTAGAAGAGTTCCTCTTTTGCCGTATCCTTACCAGCATTTGCTATTCTTTGTCTTTTTAATAATGTCCAGTCTAACTGGAGTGAGATGATATCTCAATGTTGTTTTTATTTACATTTCTCTGATGACTAATGATTCTGAGCATTTTTTCCTGTACCTGTTGGCCATTTGTATGTTTTCCTTTGAAAAATGTCTATTCATCTCCTTTACCCATTTTTAAATTGGATTATGTGGGTTTTTTTACTGTATAGTTGAGTTCATTGTATATTCTGGATTTTAACCCCTTGTTGGATGTATAGTTTGCAATTTTCTCTCATTCCATAGGTTGTCTTTCTGCTCTGCTCATTGTTTCCTTCACTGTGCAGAAGCTTTTCAGTTTAATGTAATCCCATTTACTTTTGGGAGGGCCTTATTGATAAGATCTTTGCCCAGTCCTACTACAGGGAGTGTTTCCCCTATGTTTTCCTTTAGTAATTTTATGGTTTCAGGACTTACATTTAAGTCTTTAATCCATTTTTAGTTGATTTTGGTATATGGTGAGAGGTACAGGTCCAGTTTCATTTTTCTGCATATGAATGTCCATTTTTCACAGGACCACTTATTGAAGAGGCAGTATTTCCCCAATGCATGTTCTTGGTTCCTTTGTCAAAGATCAGTTGGCTGTAAGTTTGTGGGTTGATTCCTGGGTTTTCTATTCTGTTCCATTGATTTCAGTGTCTGTTTTTATGCCAGTACCACACTGTTTTGGTTACAGTAACTTTATAATATAATTTGAAGTCAGGTAGTGTTATGCCTCTGGCTTTATTTTTTTTTTTCTACTCAGGATTGCTTTGGCTATTCGGGGTCTTTTGTTGTTCCATATGAATGTTAGGATTGCTTTTCTATTTCTGTGAAGAATGTCATTGGTATTTTTATGGGGATTGTGTTGAATCTGTAGATTGCTTTGGGTAGAATGGACATTTTCAAGATGTTGTTTCTTCCCATCCAAGAGCATGGTATGTCTTTCCACTTTTTTGTGTCTTCTTTAATTTCTTTCATTATTGTTTTGTAGTTTCATTGTAGAGATCTTTCACCTCCTTGGTTAAATTGATACCTAATTGGTTGGGTTTTTTTTTTTTTTTCGTAATTACTGTAAATGGGCTTGCTTTCTTGATTTCATTTTCTGCTACTTTGTTATTGGAGTATAAAAACACTATTGATTAGTGGAGCATAAAAACGCTACAGATTTGTGGGTGCTGATCTTGTACCTTGCAACATTACTGAAATTGTTAATCAGCTCTAAGAGTTCTTTAGTTGAGTCTTTAGGTTTTTCTACATGTAAGATCAACAGTTTGGCTTCATCCTTTCCAGTCTGGATACCCTTTATTTCTTTCTTTTTACCTGATTGCTCTGGATAGTACTTCCAACACTATGTTAAATATGAGTGGTGAAGGTGGGCATCCTTGTTTTGTTCCTGTTCTTAATATCATCCCATTCAGGATGACATTGGCAATTGGTTTGTCATAAATGGCTTTTACTGTACTGAAATAATTTCCTTCTGTACCTAATTTGCTGAGAGTTAATCATGAAGGGATGTTGAATTTTGTCAAATGCCTTTTCGGCATCAATTGAGATAATCATATGGCTTTTGTCCTTGGTTTTGTTTATGTGGCGTATCACATTTATTGGCTTGCACATGTTAAACCAACTTTCCATACCTGGGATGAATCCCACTTGATCATGGTGTATAAATTTTTTGATGTGTTGCTATAATCTGATTGCTGGTATTTTTTGAGGACTTTTGCATCTATGTCCATCAAGGATATTGTCCTGTAGTTTTCTTTTATGGTTTTGGTATCAGGGTGATGCTGCCCTCATAGAGTGAGTTTAGGAGAAGGCTTCTGTTTCTATTTTTTGGAACAGTTTGAAGAGAAGTGGTATTAATTTTCCTTAAAGGTTTGATAGAATTCAGCTGTAAAACCATCTGGTCCTAGGCTTTTATTTGTTGGAAGATTACTGATTACTACTTCAATCTCATTGCTTGTCATTGGTCTCTTCAGATTCTCTACTTCTTTTTGGTTCACACTTGGTAGTTTGTATTAGTCCCATGTAGTTTGAAACTTACCCATTTCCTCCAGGTTTTCATATTTGTTGGTGTACAGTTTATAATAATCTCTGATGATTCTTCATATTTCTGTGGTATCAGTTGTAATGTCTCCCTTTTCATTTCTGATTTTTCTTATTTGGTTCTTTCCTCCTCCTCCTCCTCCTCCTCCTCCTCCTCCTCCTCCTCCTCTTCTTCTCCTCCTCCTCCTTCTTCTCCTCCTTCTCCTTCTCCTTCTTCCTAGCTAATCATTTGTCTATTTTATTTATCTTCTCTGTAGTCAATTGAATTATGTACTCCCCAAACCCATTGAAGCTTGAATTGTGTCCCCCCAAGTTTTATCTAATAGAAACTTAGACCCCACTGTGACTGTTAAGAGGGTGGGAATTTTTATTAAGGTAATTGGAAGGTGGAGCCTTGAAGAGGTGATTGGATTGTAGGACTGTGCAGTAGTGAATGGATTAAAAATGGTGGTTAGGGGCGTGGTTCTGAGGGCTTTAGAAGAAGAGGAGAGTTTGTCTGTCTTTCTCTCTCTCTCTGCTCTCTGCTTCCTCCATCTTGCAATATGAGACCCCTCACCATCTGGTGGGTCACTATCACCACCACCAGATGGACTTTGGACTTCCCAGCCTCAGAAACTGTAAGCAAATAAATTTCATTTTCTTTATAAATTATCCAGTTCCAAGTGTTTTGTTATAAGCAACACAAATGGACGAATATATTCTCAGTAAACCAACTTTTTGTTTCATTGATCTTTTGTATTGTTTTTTGGGTCTCTATTTCATTTAGTTCTGCTCAGTTCTTGATAATTTTTTCCATCTACTACATTTGGGATTGGATTGTTGTTTTTCTAGTTCTCTGAGGTGTAGTGTTAGGTCATTTATTTGAAGTCTTTCTGTTCTCTTGATGCAAGTGTTTATTGAAATAAACTTCCCTCTTAGTACTGCTTTTGCAGTGTCCATTTTGGAATGATGTATCTTTATTTTTGTTAGTTTCAAAAAAATTTTTGATTTCCTGTTTAATTTCTTCTTGAACCCATAGGTCATTCAGGAGTCTGTTGTTCAGTTTCCATGCACTTGAGTAGTGCCCAGAGTTTTGCTTGTTATTGATTTCCAGTCTTTATCCATTGTGGTCTGAAAAGATAGTTGGAATGATTTCACTTTTTTTTAATTTGCTAAGACTTGATTTGTGACCTAATATGTGGTCAATCTTAGATGAGAAGGGTATGTATTCTCTAGTTTTGGGGTGAAATGTTCTGTAGATATCTTCCAGGTCCAACTGGTCTATGGTGTAGTTTAAATCATGTTTTTCTTTGTTGTTTTGTTGCCTGCATCAAAACAGAAAAACTTCCCTATACCTGGGAAGTTTTCTGATACTACTCCCTTGAATAAGTTTTCAATGCCGTTTTCTTTTTCATCCCCTTCTGGAATACCTATGATTTGGATGTTTGTGCATTTAAGATTGTCTGCTAGTTCTCTTAAATTTTCCTCATTTTTTAAAATTCTTTTTTCCTTTTTCTTGTCTGTCTGGGTAATTTCAAAAAGACCATCTTCAAGTTCTGAAATTCTTTCTTCTGCTTGCTCTAGCCTGCTGCTCAAGCTTTCTGTTNTCCTCCTCCTTCTTCTCCTCCTCCTCCTCTCCTCTTCTTCCTCCTCCTTCTTCTCCTCCTCCTCCTCCTTCTCCTCCTCCTTCTCCTTCTTCCTAGCTAATCGTTTGTCTATTTTATTTATCTTCTCTGTAGTCAATTGAATTGTGTACTCCCAAAACCCATTGAAGCTTGAATTGTGTCCCCCAAGTTTTATCTAATAGAAACTTAGACCCCACTGTGACTGTTAAGGGGGTGGGAATTTTTATTAAGGTAATTGGAAGGTGAAGCCTTGAAGAGGTGATTGGATTGTAGGACTGTGCAGTAGTGAATGGATTAAAAATGGTGGTCAGGGGCATGGTTCTGAGGGCTTTAGAAGCAGAGGAGAGTTTGTCTGTCTTTCTCTCTCTCTCTGCTCTCTGCTTCCT